CCCCTGGCCTCCCTCCCCCCACTCTTCGTCTTAAAGCTGACCGAGAGGAGCGAGTTAGGACTAGAAGAAAAAAACAAAAAAGATGCTGAGGAACGATCAGCCTGAAGGCTTCGGGAAGAGAACAAAGAGGATGGATGGGCCGGGGTAGTTATTTGTATTAAAAGTGAGATATGGCGCTATGTTTCGCTTAACGTTTGGGGGACGGCCGCAGCTTCCACGGGGGCAGAAGGTAAGGCGCTTGTGCTCGCTATGGCGCCGTCAGCACCAAGGACAGCGCCCAGGCGCGCAGGGATCTGCCACCGGGGGCTTGTCACCCAGCACTGCCTGTCAGGCTGACCAGAGTGGGGGTTTCCTTCCTCTTCTCTCCCCCCTCCCCGCCCCCTCGTCCCCACAAAGATAGTTAAAACCTATTTGTAGTGACTTTGTTTGCGGGAGTCAGGCTGGAATCGCACACTAAGATTTCTCTGCAATGCAGGGTTGGCACCATGAACAGATTGCAGATTTTGAAAACAGCTAAAATTCATTAAACTTGTAGGCCAGTTTGAGTTTTCTAACATGGTAGATGCCTGGAATGAAGAGGGCCTAAAATTTGAAGGTCAGATATTCCTTGGAAAGGGAAATGTGAAATCTGCTGAGATGAAAAGTCCAGAGAAATACAGTTTATAAGTTTGAACACAAAGGATTGCCTTGTCATCTTTCTGTTCAGTACTCCCTACAGGTAACTGCGATGATTGAAAAGCATATGAATTAATTTAAAAGTTGTCAAACAGATTCACCACAACCTTGAGTAAAACCAGATATTTTTCTTCTTTTAAAGTGTAATATATTTCCTTATTTAGATTGGAATGACTAATTTGGAATAGATTTTCCACATCTTTCTGCATGTTTATTTAAACAAGGAATCTACACAGACTTCCTGCTGTCTGGTGCACTGCTAACTGTTAACATGTCTTTTGGGGGGTAATTCAGGGTAAAAAAGTTCAGATTACTGTAAGGCAAAGTGAGGAGCAGTAGGCAGGACTCATGACCGTGTTTGCTGGGACAACAGGCACAATGGTGGCTGAGAGAAACCACTGCTTATGAAAAGTAGAGACTCCAGACTTAATGTTTTCATAGCATGCTTTCTCTAGTCCTTGTTTTATTAAATGATAAGATCATGTCAGTCAGTGAGTAATCAGAAAAGGCCTGGATTTCTAAAGATTTTTATTTTTAGATTTTATTTCTATAAGATCTCTTGGCCCACTTGTATTTTAAAATAGCAGGGGTTAGTTTAGGGAGTTACTTTTGGTTCCTTAATGTCAAACTGCAGTACTGCAGGCTGTGCGGGGGAAGATTGTTCTAGTTTCCTGAGTGATGGGATGGTTCTCTTTCAGGCAAAGAGAGCCCATGTCTCAAGCTGCTGGAGAGACACATGACAGAATGAGGGGACTGGCCTGTGAATGTTGTAAAAACAGGGTTTTCTGGTTTCAGATAGAAAAATAAAAGAAAAAAAGAAAAAAAAGCCCTGCCTTTTTGTTCAGTACTGCCAGTCTCCAGACAGGACTCTGAGAAAGATGTGATCAGATAAGGCCAAAATGCTAATTATGCAGTAATTACTTTCTACTTTTACAAGTACTTGCTAATTATATAGTAATTATGCTTGGTTACTTATTACTTTCTACTTTTCCTAGTACTTAAAAAAATAAAAGCCTTTGGCAATTTCACGGTGCATATGCACTTAGCGGACTTTAGGTAAAAGGAGCAAATGGTTAACCGGCAGGCTGCTGCTGTTAGTTTTCTTCAGACCTGTGAAAATGAAATGACTCTGCAGAGAGACATTTACAAGGGAACGCATGTCTAACTTCACAATTAGCCTGTTTTGTCTTGTATTGAAACTAGCTCAGAAATTGTTAAGCTTCCAACGGGTTACAGAAGGAGGAAAACATTGCGTACAAACAAAACAAAAGCCAATTACTCAAGCTAAATTCACTGAGTGTCTAGACTAGACTCCATAGCTTTAATTGTAACTTCAATGCCACACGCAGTATATTGTTCAGTCTGACCACAACAGGATAATGCAGAGAGTTATAACAGACACCGTACTAAGGAAAAAAAGTTCTCACGGCTTAAAAAATGATGGATCCAGTTCCACATTTATCAAAATGTTTTATTTTTGAATTAGACTTTTCACTTTAATCACCGTGTTTGAAGGTGACTTGAAGGTTATGCTCATTAGTGAATGTATTATAAAAACTTTTAAAAAGTCTATAACATTTTCCATCTTTGTCTCATATTTTTGAAGAACATTTATCAGGCTAATAGTTGTCATAGAAAGAAATGTAAAGCTTTGCTTTTACTTTTTTTTTTTTTTTTACCATGATGACAATAAGGCTATGGAATCTTCTGAAAGTATTAACAAGAAGGGAAAAAAGCATAAGGATTTATCTGAATTTACAGCACTGTTGAGTTTGCCTCTAATACTTTTATAATTTATTTTAAATAGGTAATCACACATGATTTGGATATAAATTTAGAATTATACATTTATAATGAAATTATCTCGTAATTGTTGTCCCACAAGTTAGTGTATTTTGAATCACTTTCTAGGGAAATACAGAGCATACTGTGTGTTCCTTTAGTAGATGAAGTGAAAATGTTAACTTTGTAGTTAAGAGATAGCTATTCTGAAGTCTTACCTTATGATAATGGTAAAATATCCTTTGCATAGGGGCCTTATTCATATGGGTTTATTGGGTCCAAAAATATGGTTAGAAAAATGAAGAGTTGGGCATTTTTTTCCTTCTTCCCATATTCCCTTACATTTTAAAGTGTTCACTTTTGATACATAAAAATACAAAGATGGGATGTGGGAGCCGGGCAGCAAGCAAGAAGTTCTGGATGAAAGACACCACTGTCAAATTGGTAGGTTGAATCTAAGATTAGATTATCTCCCTTTTCCCCAATTTACTGTGCTGTCTTAAACCTGATCCTTCTGCCTGGGAGCTGATGTTAGAACTCATGACGAACAATTATAAACCAAAGCTCTGCTGATTAGTTAAGGGGTTGATGTAGGGAGCTAGGAACTTGGTCACCTGGAGAGGGGCCATAAGGAAAGTGAAAACTATAATACTTATTTCTACTTGAGCCTAGGCATGTCAAACTTTGAAAGCAGATTTGACTTTTGTTCTTTTTTTATTTAAGGTGTTGAAATATTCTCAGGGAAGAAACAATATAACAATATTCTCAGGGAAGAAAGGCTGGTTTTTGTCAGGAAAATTGGGATGTACGTGTCCTTATTGTCTTTAATTAAACCAAGTCCATTTGAACCTCAGTGTTCTTTTTCTAATATTAACCACTGAAGTGGTGCTTGTTTCCCTTGCCAAAATTTTTATTCATTGAATATTGCCTTCTATTTCTGTCAGTGACTGTTTTTATAAAAAGTTAAGTGTAGTATTTAAAAAATTAAAAACATTTCATATCTTTATGTTGTTTCAAACATAAGCTTAATCGGTTTTTGAACTCTTATCTCTGGAAATTTCATGTTTTAAGGAGGAAAGATTTTGCTTTCAGCTTTAACATAGCTTTGCTTTTCTTTTTTTTGCTGTGTAATGCCTTCACCTCACCACCTGGAACCAGTTCTGTAAAAGCCAGAGGAGGAGGACTTAGAATTAAAAAATATTTTTAAGATGGCCCTTTAAAAAGGGATTCTAAAAATAAAATTCAGTAGGTGCATAATAAAACAGTTGTGCCATATTAATTTTCAGCATGATTTTAATTGGACACGCTGGCTTTATCTGTAAAGGGGCAGATCTTGAGATATGCACTTGGATTTTTAAAACCCTGCATTGCTCATAACTTTGCACCAGTGCAGCCATAGAATATTTACAGCATGTTTTATCCCAAGCGGACTAAAGCCTGACTTAGCGAGGGACATATGATTTTATTAGAAACTTTTAATGGAAATGAGCTTTGTAAAACTAGAGCAGCAGATCAATGATCTATTATCTTCCGACCAAATTTCTGAGGAAAGTTAAACCCAAGGACATAAAACACAGTCAGAAAAAAAGCCCCAACTAATAATGAAGTTTCATTGTTCCAGGGTTGGGTTCTTTCTTCATGATCTCGGCAATTGGAGAAGCAGTGTTCTTTCAGAATCCTCGGAAAATGGGTTCACATACAGAACTATCTCTTTTTACTTAGATTGCCACGAACATTATATAGTTTAGAATATTTTTATTCACTTATTTTTTGTTAAAACTAACATGCTTAGTGTGGCAATTTATAAAATACAGAGACACAGTAAGTATTTTCTTCTAGCTTTTTCTCTGTAATTTAAATGTAGAAGGATCTTTCTTTTTATATAATTCCATACCCTGCTTTGTAAAATAGCTATATCCGAGTATGCAACTTGCTGTCTTAGAGGAAGGAATGCGGTACTGTTTGCCATGAGTCCTGGGTTTTAGCCAACTGTTTGACTTTTACTTTCTTCTGTAAGAAAATATTGTAGAGTCCTTTAGATCAAGAATGG